ATGCAAATTCCATTGTTTTCTATTGTTTAACTAACATTATTTTGTACTATTTAGTAATTAGTGTTTCACGGATTTACTGTTGTCACTCTATTACCTGACTAGCTTATTATTTTGTCGAACAACTTTCTCGTCAAGTCATTTTTGGAATTTGGAAGTGCAAGGATATTTGCGTAACTGAGGAGGGAATCGGGGGAGCCCAGAGCTTGAGAAAAACCCTCGAAGTACAGGAGAGAACCAACAGACAACTAATGAAGGCGTGCTTGGTTGGCAAATCTAAGAGCTGGATCGAACCCACGAACCAACAGCGGTACTTGAGGGGGCGCATTAACAGCGAACACCACCCGCGCTCCTCTATTCTGATCGACAGCTGGATTCCGGGCTGGCTTTTATTCACAACCTTTGCTTCCTAGTCATCTGAACACGTTTTGAATTCTGTTATCTTTGTAACTTATTCCTGGAAGGAGGAAGAGGAGTTTTGGATTTGTTTCTTCCCCGTTTCGGGCTTCGGCGAAGCAAAACCATATCTTACTCTTTACTTACGCGAAAATTTCAGTGAACTTGATTTCCTTCGAATAGACAGTAGTATTTGTTCAGTCACATCTGAAAGAATCGCCAGTGTATCGTTGAAGTGACAGAACTGTCTCGAGCACGCCAGTTATTCGTTAAAGGCAATTTGAAACAAGGGGGATTTTCTGGTTGTCAACTTCGCTTCCTTTTAGATTAATAACGCGTCTATCAAAATTGTTTGCGTGGCGAAATAATTTAGTTTAGTATTAGACTATTGTTAAGACTGAAACAATGGCATTGATTCCCATAGTCTACAAAACTAAAATAGTTTTACCGTACAACAGAGAAGATGAAGTGTACAACGGCACTTGTGTATTGAAGGTTGCTGGTCAAAATGGCCGGCACAACGGTCCACTAACCGAGTTCCTGCCAGGAGTTGTTCTCTTGACTGACGAAGCACGACATGTGATTCCTAAGACAAATCACTGATCCGAAAATACATCTTATTCAGATAGACCAGAGAGCGATAAGAAAACCAAAAACATTGGGTTGCGTTTAATTTCCAGGGAAACAAACTCTAAAACCTTTAAAATGTTTCCACATTTTGGCACCCAGCTGTGTATAGTTTGTACATTGGAGTATCTCTGATTGAAAAAATTAAAGTTTTCATTCCTATTATGTAATGTATTAAAAATCCATTCAAAAGACTATGGGCCGATTACCACCTGCTACTCATCCACTTGACAACTGCCTGATTGAACAGTTTCTATTAAAAACATTCCATTCTTGGTGGGTGACGTAATTTCTTTTCCTCGCTTGCCTGGACGCGGGAAAACCTTCCCTACGGTAACTAGACAAGTGGGAAGAATAGAAAAATTATAATAATTCCCTAAATGGATGCATGAAGACTCATCTGAGAGAAATATTTGGTAAATATGTGAAGAAGGAAGAACTGGTTGAAGTTTTCTGGGACCGTCGAGGATGAAAATAAAGGATTCTGGAGGAAAGGCAACCAGTTTGCAGTTCGCGCTCTATGATCAAGTTTAAACATACCAGGACAGGGCTGTGGCTAGAAAGATTGCTTTCCTGCTTATATATTCTTCTCGTTTTGATTGTACATGGTACGTAAAATTACAGACGAAAAGCTGCCAGTTTATCGTTATCCTTGACAAGAATATAGTGTTTATATGTTGGACTTTTGTTTCTACAGCTTATGGACAAACGCGTGACCACTGTGGTGCAAGCACTAGCTCAATCGAGCAAGATGGGTTTCATTTTTACAAATTTGGCCGATCCTCGGGGCTGGAAAACTGCGTGAATTCGTGCTGTGGAGAGGAAACATGCGAGATTGCTTTCCTACTTGGCTTGAGGTGCTTTGGTTTGGCTTGTGGAAAGCCAGAGATTTGTCACAGGGTAGCAGATCAGTTAGTGACTGCTCATGATCAACGCATCGATGAAGATAACCATAAACATTATCACACAACTTCAGGTTAGTAAATGTGGACTTTTTGTCCAATTTTACATGGGAAAACTCAAATATTTTACGCGAACATCATGGAAATCATCTCCGAAAAGATGTGTATGATTGCCCAGTAATCATACCAACAGACTTCTGAAAATTTCCCTAGAAATGCACCCATTTTATTTTCGTTAAATGCCTTGTTTTGCCAACACTTTTTTATTGTTTTTCTAATTTTTTTTAATCAAGTTAATCGACCACGTTTGCGGAACGTGAATAAAATAAGAAATCGTTGAAGAAGAATTCAGCATTTTTTAAGCTATTAAAGTAATTTGAGAGCCTATTGCCTAACATCTTCGGAACCAAAGTATGCACATGGTTATCATCGCACAAATGATTTCTATAGACCACTCCAAAAGACTATCTAAACCCTAGAATATTATTTTTAGAAGTATTCAATGCTGCTAAGTATTATTCACTAAACCCAATCGAGGTCTTGCTTTAAACAGGAAACGGTAAATACCCTTTTTCGGTCCCCGTTTTTGATTTTCAATTGCTCATATAACTACATATAACTAACCACTTTGCTCTAGTTTAAACCAAAACTCCTCAAACGTGAAAAAATTCCTATTTATTTCCCATTACTTTATTTATTTAAAATTCCCTTGAATTGGCACGTGGAATTGGAACATAAAAGGATTTCTTGTAAGCGAAATGTGTTAAGATTCTGTCGGCTAAGCAGTGACCATTATAAAAGGTGATGTGTAAAACGCTTCTACTGGTACCCGCGCCACTAACACAAGACGTGTGTGTGTGTGTATCTATGTTTATAATCTTCAATCATGTGAACCAAAGCAACGGGCTAAAAGTTGCAGGTATGTGATCAGTAAATACAAACCGTCTTGCAACCAATCTGCAGAAAAACGGTCCAAGCTGAACAGTGAACAAGTTAATCACTTGTAAATATTCACATTTTAAAACGTGTAGAATTTGATAGGAAGGGTTAAAACATCAAAATCAAATCCAAACGACTTTTGACTTTTTTCTTCATTAGTATTGATATTATTGTATTATTTATTAGTTTATTGAGGTGTTAAAACGGAGGAAGATGTTTTTAAACATGCTTGAAAGCTTTACTTCAAAACAAATGAAAATATATTTCCCTAAGTTTCAAAACCTCTCTTTGCTTTTCTTTCGTAGGAATTCAGAAGCAATCTGTTCTCGCAAGCAGCCCCAAATGTCCTCGACCCTTTGCCACGAGTTTTACATTCCCAGTTTCAGACGCAAGTCCACAAACCAAAAAGTTTGAGATTCTATTCAATGGCACTATCACAGAAAGTGATTGTGCAGATCTTTGCTGCAAGACTCCTGGATGTAATCTTGGGTTTGTGGAAGAGAGTGCGTGCTATGGAGTCAGCTTTAGAGGAGCCGGGAAGTATTATCACTCTGGTGATGCGAAAATGAATAAAATGATGTCTTTGGCAATGGCCATCATAGATCGTAAAAGAGGTGAGTTAATTCAACTGATACAAGTCTATGTGATATCGATCCAAACATTATAACACTAGGGACGTCCAAGTCACGGACATGGTATGGAATTAACGATCTGACATTGAATCAATCACGTACACGTCCACAGCCAATGAAAAGACATAGACTAAATGTCGTACCATCACGGACCCGGCAAGGCATTTGACACAAATGCCATTGGCGTATGGATGAGATGATATAATAAATGATTCTTCTGGATTATCTTGCTTTCTTCTTAACTTTTGTCTTTTTCTTTTTCTTTGACGTGAAACAGAGATTTCAAGAAGTGTTGATGAAACTGAAGACAGTACCGACAATGACAATAATGACCAATTGACATTCATTGACAAGAATAAGCTTACTTCAGCTGATGAATACGGTGATAATGATGATGATATTGATGACATTGGATCTGAAACTGCTGATTCCAAAATGGCTCTCCATGACAATGATCCCACCCACAGGTCTATAAAACAGAAAACGTTAGGAGGTGCTGCAGAAAAGAATACTGTACATATCAGAGACAAGGCCAAGGAAAATTGGGCAAAGACTGCGTCGAAACAACGAAATCCAATTCAAACCAAATCTCAACCCTTAAGGTCGAGGGAACAAAGCGCTTTAAACAAGCAAATGCACAAATCAAAGGACGGGACCATTGGCCAAGTATTAAATATTCCTGTGGAAAATGTACCTCAAAACAGTGGCTTGCATGAAAAGCAAAATGGTATGGGAATGCGAAACACAGCTGGAAAAGTTTTGGATAAAACTAAGGAAAGGCTAAATAAGCACGACGTTTTCTCCAAGTCGGGAAGAATAAATGCAACAAAGTGGACAAAAAGTAAAACGGTTTCTGAGGAGACTGACAAAATATTCAGTGAATACAAAACTGCCTTGAAGAACAGCACGAGCAAACTTACAAATGGACGCCGTAATTTGAACAAATTCGAAAAAATGCGGAATAAAAATGAAAATGTATCTGCTAACAGAGAACCTGTCTTTGCTAAAATACCTTCCAATAACAAGCAAACTGCACAAGGTCACCACATGAGCAATGCATCGAAGAGTGTCTCGAAGCTTCTATTTCACAACAAAACCAGTGCAACATTGAAATACTTTGAAAACCCAAGTCATTATGATGGCAGAAAACAACAACGTGATGCCAATTTCTCGTCACTTGGAAATACTACCAGAACTGCATTTTCAACTCACAATATTATAAACTCGGCCAAGAATCAAGTTGCGGAAGGAACGCCTAATTTTACAATCCCATCTTTCCATCCTTTAAATAACTCAAGGAAGGGCATAGATCATAGTGCTGTGGGAAAAGTTGTGAAAAGTTTTAGAAACAATGAGGTTTATGGCACGCGGGATGAAAGTTTTACTAATACCAAACCAAGGAAGACTGTGGAAGACATGGATCTAAAGGAAGGACAGATCAAACACCAAGCCAAGTCTAATATTAGTGAAACATCACCAGTACAGCTTAAATTTGACAAAGAACAGTTGCCTGTTGATAATTCTGCGAGAGTAAATATATCTTGGAATGAAAACGTTAATAAAAGGAATGACAATACTGAAAGTGAAGATTCATCTCATGTCGTGACTCATTCACCTGTTTTAGTGAATGAGGCTAAAAGGAGAGATTTTAATACCAAAACGTCTGAGAGGTTCTCGCAAGGAAAGCATCCTACATCACTGACTGCAGAAAAACAAAGACATATACACTGGAATCAGACAATAAAGCAAAACGATTCTAATCATGGTGTCCAAACAGTCCCTTGTCAGTTCAAAAGTAATAGAACGATGCATGGACTACGTGTGAATGCATCAAGTGAAAAAGTAGATGTTGGGAATGAAACCTTAGATGAGGATCTTCATGAAGCACAAGCTGCAAATACCGTGCAGTTCAAAGGAACCTTAAATACGCTACAGGTAAACTTGACAAGTAAGGTAAAAGATGATGATGGAAATGAGACAATTGACGAACGTCCTCAGGAAGCAAAAACGGCGAACCTGCACACTAAACAACCGATAGATACGCTACGAAAAGGTGACGGAGTTGAGAGTGAAACCTTAACAGGGCCTCATCCCTTGCATCATAATGGAACACTGCTGTATGTGAATCAAACAAGGAAAGGAAAATCTTTTAAGAGCGATAAGACACTCGAAAAACTTCCATATCAAACACCTAAATTGGATCAGTTGAAAAACAATAAAACGATAATCACATCACTGCAAACGGATCAAAGAAGAAAACATGTAAATGTAAATGGCACAAGGAAACAAAAAGATGCCTTCAGGGTTAAGAATAAGCAAACCAAGAAATATCAGGATGAAACAGTAAATCACTTGCGCATTTACCCAAGCCAGCACAGCGAAGAAGAAAAGTTTTCTAATGTTCATACAAGCGTAGAGACAAACAAGACTGAAAACCATGCAGCATCATCAACAAATGTTGTAATGAAAAACTATCCATCAAATTTTACGAGGATGAGACAGGAAAGTAATAATTCAAAGTTTCTTGACATCTCGACCACGTCTTCTAATTCTAATTCAAATATGACTAAGATTCATAATTATATCAACATGACAGATGGTAATGCGGCTAATCTCAGCTCTGCAACAGTAGTATCAGAAAATGTTCATCAGATTATTCTTCCCCGTCACAAGGCAGGTTCTAAAAGTCAGAAACCTGGAGCCATTGTCGTCAAGAACAGTGGAGATGCAAAAGAATATTGGCCTGAAAAGAAGGACATAAAAAGTTCGACAAACGGAACCAACGATAAGCATGCAAAGTCTGGAGTCAAACTAAGAAGTAAGAAAGTATTTAGACCTACTGTGAAGCGAGATATTTCGACATTAGAAAGGACTGGCACGCTTAAAAGCAACAAATTTCATTCTGATGACGTTGGCCAGAAAGAGGAAAAGCACCATAGAAGTACGCAATTGCCCAAAATTAATTCTAAATTGATGAATCACACAAGTGAGCAAGTTAGCCTAAGCACCAAGTCTCAAACAATGAATAAGTCTTTGGAAACTAAACAAGCAGCCAAAGCAAACAATGATTCTGCAAAAATGAAAGTCAGCACTTTTGGTACCTCGAAAGGGACTACTGACAACACCAAGTCCTCTCCTGAAAATAGGAAATTTGAGAAAATCGAAAGCGAACACGACCAGGAATCGGAACAAGTTCGTCCTCATGAAAAATCGAGAAAAGCCTTAACTAGTCTAATTGATGCTAATGATGCGGATGATCCTGATGATCTTGGAACAGATGATGACATTCAAATTTATGCACATGTTCATGGTGTTCCAAAGCCAACTAAAGCAACAGTGGCACCTCGACCTTTTGATAAAGCATCTTCAACGAATAACTCCAGCAAAATAACCAGCAAAGAAACGATAAATGGAATGCTTGAGATGAAGAAAGTGGCACCGAGTAATTCTACTCAAATAAGTAAAAAAACGGAAGAAAAGGATGCAGAGAGAAATCACACTATCAAAATAACAGGGAAACCTCAAATGGACTTTTTTCAGTCTAAAGAAGAAAGCAGAAAGCCTGCCAAGCCATCAGTTATTTTGAAAAACGAAACAAATGAAGATCCTGACGATCTTGGGGCAGATGATGAAGATATACAAATCTATGCACATCAGAACATACAACCAACTATTGCAACAACAGACAGGCTTTCAAAGCATTCGGGAACTACGCCCGTTACACCAAACCAGCAACAAAGCTTGAATGAGAAACAACCAAAAGGAAAAGCTGTTTCTGAGGATCAACTTAAGTCCTTTTCCAATAAAACTGAAAAGAACTTGGCAAAGAACATTCAACCTGCCATTGATAATTTGTCGAAGGGCAGTTTAAGCAGAAATAAGACTTTTGATGGAATGAAAGTTTCAAGCCAAAATAGGACTATGAATTCTTCGCTTCCATCAGAACCAAAAAGGGGGCATAAACGCCATGGAAAAGAACACCAGAAAAATTTCATCACGAGCAGCAATCACACCAAAAACACAACGTCTAGCCCTTTGAAATCAGCTACAAATACAAGGACTATTCGTCTGAAAGCAAAAGCTGCAAAAAATCAAAGAAATGACTTGAAATCCAAAACACCCTTGCAAGTAACGAAGGTTGTTGTAGGCACACTTAACGTGAGCCACACAAAGAAGAACAGCTCAAGACATTTAAAGACTGTCATTGATGGGTCAAAGAAAGGGGTATTAATCCAAAAGGTGAAGAAAACGAAACTTGCCTTGTCTGGAGAAAATGTGAAGCCAAAATATGTGAAAACTGAAGTTCATAAGTTTGGAAAAGCACTAGAGAAAAAGAGAAAACACAATGTGAATGTAGTTAAGAATAGAAAGGCATTACCAAATAAGAACAAAATACAATCAAAAAAGAAAACTAAACAAAGAAAGATGTCAACGTACCACAGTAATGCTGAAAGTGCTGTTGTGAAGAAATCTAAGAACCAACCGATAGGAATCTTAAAGAATAAGAAAAGCATGAAGAAAAAACAAGATAAATATCAAGCAAATGTCGTGTCGAAAAAGACAAAACTTAAAAAGACAAAAATCAAGGCGAGTAAGCACATTAAAAAAATCCTGAAAGTGTTACATAAAAATAAAGCTCATTCGAGAAAGCTTTCAAGTTTTAAAAAGAAGAAAAAAGAGGGAACGTTTGTGAAAAAAGTTGTCGCGAGAAAGAAAGACCAGAAGAAAGATCCACATGACAGAAAAACTAAAAAAAGAAAGAAGATGTTTGCAAGGGGTCATCACACGAAAGAGACTCCACTAAAGTCTAACCATGTTAAAGTAGAGCTACTAGAAGGGTCTGGAGTAGGAAAAAATAATAACATTATGCTTGGAGCAGCTATTCCTAAGCAATCGAGAAAAAACTCCACGTTTTCTAAGAACGATTCAAATGCAGGCAGTGCTAAAGCATTCGATAAGAAAGTGTTACCAGATCACAAAAATTTAACATCCTTGAATTTAACACATGTCAGCTTGCCACCAACGAAAAAAGTTGTCATTAATCCTGAAACTGGCACTAAAACTCACTTTTACAAAGTTGCTCAAGATGATACCACAGGTTTCATGGAAGGCAACGATAAGAAGATTACTAAAGTGAAAGACAATCTTCAACATGGGGTTAAAAGCAAAATGTTGAAAAAAGATCACATTGGAATTCTAAATGGTACAAATTTGTCCTATATAAAGGCAAAAGTTCAAACTCCCAGAGCAGAGATGAAACATGTGCAGAACGTTACAAAGTCACAAAATGAAACCCAAAGTTTCTTGTCAACGATCCACAATAACTCTGATGTTGCCATGAAAATGAATGAACTCAGAAATCCACTGCTTCATCATATTCAAAATGTCAGTAGTAACCAGGACATTGTTCAGTTTTCTGCCGAGTCCCATAAACACAAATCAAAAGTGCATCATCGCCATCATCATGTTGGACACATGAATCCAGAAGATATAGGAGACTCGGACTTCGATATCTTAATGTCTAATGATATTCCTCGCAAGCTGAAGAAAGAAGGCAAGGAAAAGGCATCGAAGAAAAAAGTTGAGAAAAAGAAGAAAAAGAAGACTGCCAAGAATAAGAAAGTTGTCGTTGGTGAAGATGTCAGTGAGGATGAGGACGACGAGACGGAGAAGAAATCTAAACCGAGGAAAAAGAAAGAGAAAACAACTCATCATAAACATCACAAGTCTAAAGACAAAAGTAATGAAGAACCATGGTTCAAGGGTCATATCAAATATATCAAGAAGATTAAAAAGAAGAAGCCGAACCATGACACTGAAGATGAAAACAATGAACGAGAGGTGACAAAGAAACATGAGATTGTACATCACCATCACCATCATCATCATCATCATCATCATCCTACCGAATCGAATGATAATGATGACAATGAAAAGGATGAACCAAAGCACCATAAGAAAGTACAGGAAGATGAATACAAAGATGACGACGAAGATGGATATGTAGTAAACCATCATAATCAACGGAAGCACCATGTAATACATCACCATGAAAAGATGGAGCCTCATCATAAAATACATCATAAGTTTAACGAGAACGAAAGTGGTGACGATGGTGGTAATAATGACAATGAGAAGGAAGTGAAGAAACCTTATCATGTCAAGTTTGTCCATCATGAAGATGATCAAGACGAAGAACAAGACGTTGAAGTTCATCACAAACCCAAATATCGCGAGAAAAGTTACCATAATGATGAAGAAATAAATACAAGAATAATCAAGAAGCGTAAAAAACATCACCATTTCCATCACAAGGATGAGGATGAAGAAGAAAATGATGGTGACGAAGAGGCTCGTCATAAAATCTTTAATCGTAAACATCACCCACACACATATCATTATAAGAGCGGCGATTATGATCAACGCGGGGAGCACAATGAAGTTGATAATGGTCGTTATCGTCACCGTTTCCACCATCCAGTCAAACATTGGCGTCATTATGAAGGAGAGCATCATTGGCACATCAAGCATCCTTTTCAAAAGACCCGTGTATTTCTTGGTGAAGATGCTGAAGGTGATGATGATGATGACACTGATGATAGAAATTCACAAAAACACAGCAAGCACCGTCAATACGAAGACAACTGGGAAGACAGTAGAAAAGAGAAATGGAGGAAAGAAGAAAGAGAGAAAAAGTACAAAAGTGAGGAAAAAAAGGAAAAGCTTATGAATGAATACGAAAATAGGTTGAGAGATCACAAGGAATACAAGCATAAAACCCATAAAGATTTCGAAGGAAAGGAAAGCTATGAGGATGAAAGCCATTGGAAACATAAACACAGAGAGTCTGATAGGAACTACGCTTCGTATGAAGACGAAGAAACAAATAAGAAACATCATCCCTTTGGAAGAGAACGCTACGAGGAATGGAACGAGCATGGTGAGCCAAGACCTTGGGAAAAAGAAAGTGGAGACAAATTTGGGTCTCATGAATGGAAAGGAAAGGAACATGAATACGAGAATTTTAAACATAAAAAATTGCACGATGGTGAAGAGGAGTATTTTGGATCTTCGCGTTATCGCAACAGACCTTATGAGGAACATGAACCATTCCAACCATGGGATGAGAAGAAACACGAGGAGCACAAAACGTTCAACCGACCATGGTCTGACCACGAAGGTCAACAAGATCATTATGAGCACGAAGGTCAACAAGATCATTATGAGCACAGTAATGAAAAAGAATGGATTCCTCCCTGGAAACAGCATAAATGGAATAGTCACAACCAGTGGGAAGACAATCCTAATGACCATTACAGACCAAAAGATGAAGGCAAATGGATGGATAAAATGCACTCTTTTGGTAGTCAACCCAAGAGTACTCCATGGCCAATGAACAAAGAAACAACATATAACCCATACCACCAAAGTACCCTTCCTTACCAAACAGCCTGGAACTCTGGTACTAGTAAACCCCAACCCTACAGACCCACCCAGTCCGGGACTAAATCCAGTCAAGGACCAAATGTCAATCCATGGAATCAAAATTATGCTGGGAATGTTGTAGATGAAAAGAATGAAAGAAGTGATATAGCTCGCAAGCCACCACAAAATCCTGTCATGCCGTATAATAACATGATTCCTAATGTAACACAGGGAGTGATTGGTGTGGGTGTGAACTCCCAACCGATACCGCAAGGACAGAACGACTGGAATAGTGGACCAGGGCAAGTAAGAGGTTCTAATCAAAGCCCTTTAAATCAGGGTTTACCTGTAAACAAGGGCATTCAAGGAAACCAGGGTTTCCAGGGCAACCAGAGAAACCAAAACAACCAGGGTATCCAAGGAAACCTGGGCAACCAAAACAACCAGGGTTTCCAAGGAAACCAGGGCAACCAAAACAATCAGGGTATCCAAGGAAACCAGATGATGAATAAAAGCATGAATAGCCCTTCCTGGCCTGGAAACAATAACAATAATATCCAAAACTTCCCAAGTATGTTGCAAAGTCCTAATCAAATACAGGCGCCTCAAGTTAATGCCGTAAACCCAAATATGGCTGGGAATTCTCAACAACCTGCAAATACCAATCCTAATCAGCCTAACGGGTTTGTGAATACAAATGGTGCTAGTGGAGGCCCTAACAATGTTAACCAACCAACAGTGAAAAATGGACTTCCAACTAGAAACCTGAATACGTTAAAGGGATTCTTTCGCAATGAAACCGTAGGTTCGAGTGGCTCAAGTCTTATAGGTAAGAAGTTGAATTACAACTTTCCTTAACAATAGCCTTCAGTCGACTAAGTAAAAGGACCCTTTTCTTACTTAATTACAGAGTCGTTTACTTAGGGACCGCCTCATAGCAGTGTCAATAAAGAACAAATGCTAAAAATTTTAAAAGAATTTTAGGCTTTTTCAATATATCACTTTTATATCTTGTTGGTGTCTAGTTAGTAATACACTAATGCATTAATGATACTTTTATTCCAGGGAATCAAATGCCACCTACCGTTGGTCATCCACCTCCACCTCAGAGCTCATTGCCACCACCACCACCTCCGCCACCGCCGCCGCCGCCAGTTACGACTGCAACAAAACCGACGACTACTCCCACCACGGTCCCCGTTACAACGACTCATCCAACTACGCCTAGTACCACACCTACTAAACCCACCACTCCTAAGCCAACCACACCTAAAACCACAACACCTACGCCGACCCAAGAAGACATTCCAATCCCTCCCCCTGCTGATCTCAATGACATCGAGGGTATTGAAGGCATTATGGGTAAGTTATCTAAGAAACCATTAAAAATACCCAACAGTGCTAAAAATACCCAACGGTGTTATTCCGGGCATTATCTTTGGTAAAATTTGAAGAAAACTAAGATTATTTTCTTATTATGTATTAAGAACAACCTAAATGGTTATTTTTAGCCCTATTAGTATTCCAAAAATTGATAAGGAACTCAATTTTGTTCGTCAGCCATCATTATGACCATGATAATGCCGGTATCTCCTGTGAAGTAACATACGAATACTCTTCATACGTCTTTGGTCTTATCCAATTCAATTCAATTTATTTATTTCCACTGACTAAACAAATTGTAAATACAAAGTAAGTAATTGTAATTACATAGATTATTTTTAAAAAAGTTTGAGTAAAAAGAAAAAAGAGTATGATAGATAATTGTGGACGACGGCTCCCAAAGTAGCAGGGGTTTTCGAGTTGGGAGTCGTATTACCATCGTTATCCATTAGCTAAGTTTAATAATACTTTTTACCAAATGATATAAACAGAAAACAAGAATACAAATGGTAAAGGGTAGTAATCATTGAGAGAATTGCAATGCGGGCTAGGCAGTTCTTATCCTTGACATCATATTCTATCATATTATTTTGTACATTTGTTTTGTTGTTTTATCGTTTTGGAAATGCATCCACCACAAAAATACACGTAAGGGCCCGTTGTGCGAAGCCTTGATAGCGCTATCCGGCGGATAAATCTTATCCAGTGGATAAATTTATTGGATAACAGCATCGAATTATCCACTGGATAAGGATTTATCCACCGGATAGCGCTATCCAGGCTTAGTACGACCGGGCCCAGAATTATAAATATCCATTCAAGTACAGCTTTTCACCATGATAGTTGACATTATGTTGTCTATACAGGCGAGGAAGGCAGTAAACACCGCAAGCACAGGGACCCCGTCTGCAAAGCAGGAACCATAACAGACGACATGACGTTGTTACAGGGAAAAAGAGCGGGAAACTTTACCAAGATCGGAGATGTAGGAGACTTTGAACTGTGCATCAAACGGTGCTGTCAATCAAAGTCATGTGACTTGGCATACAAGTCTGGAGAGAGTTGTTACCTGGTTCATTGCCACAGTAAAGACTCTTGTCAGGTTACTCCAGCCTTGATCAAAAGATACAGTCCTAACATGTGCTTCGTGAGACGGTCATTTGACGAGGAGGCGGAAGAACAGTCTGATGGTAAGCAACAGTTATACGTTGGTCTTGAAATAGAAGTCATAAGGACCATAAATTCCTATTATATGCAGATATATAAACGCTATTCCTACTTTGGATACAAGAAAAAAAGTATAGTGTCAATACTAAAATATGCGGAATTCATTACAGTAGTCGTAAAAACTTTTGTATAACATTTCACCGTTAATGCTTTGCGATATCCTTACAGCCGACAATAACAATAAAGATGACAATGACAAAGACAAAGACAATGACGAGGACAATGACAATGAAAACAAAGATGATGATAAATTCTCGCCTACTGGTGGGTTTGTATAGACATTGTTGAGGTTTTCAAGACATTATTTAGTGCAGAGTTGTTGTTCCTCTGAAAACCTTACCGCATGGAGGTACCGTGCCGTGTGGTGACTGTGATTGACGGTGCAGTGCCCATGTATTTTGATAGGATAACCAATAATCTGGCGAGGCTGATGTTGTTACGTCCTTTCCGTGAATGTGCCCGCAACATGTTTCATAGTCCTACAAATGCATCACGAACGACGTACACGCAAAACGTACAAGACACGCTGCGCAAATGCGCCTATGTTGTTATATTCATACGAAACACTTTATATATTGACAGATGACTCTGTCAATATATAAAGTGATTGTTTGAAAGCATTCCTAAAAGTGAAATAACAGAGACATGGCCGCCGCGTTGGTCGTATTAACGATGGAGGCTAATGCCCGCAGTGAGAAATATTTGTTAATTACTATCAACATGGCCACGAGAAAGTAACGTGCAAAGGAATAAAGCACTTCGCAATTTTTACCTGACAAATACATGATATGGAATTCCTCATTAACTTCCGAAGAGTCTTGATGGATTAACCAACATGGCGGCTGTTTCGTTGTTACTTATATCTCTTATAAATCTTTTTTCTTTGGTAATGTTACGAATGTGTACACTTTGTAGGTATCAGAGAAGTATGTAAAGCTGAAAGAGCATTGGGTATTGACTGGAAGAAGACATCAGCTGGTCACTACTCGAAGGTACCATGTCCTCGTGAGGCTAAAGGTAAAGCGAGGAGGAGATGTGGAGCAGACTCACGATGGCATACACCAGAATTCAGCGATTGCGTGACTAGTGATTATTTGAAGATTTACGAGAAGGTAACGCATTCTCGACGCATTGAAGGATTGTTTTCTTTTAATTTATTTCTTACTGTTTAATAGGATATTAATGATATAGATATAAAGGAAAATTGATGTGACAGACATAAGGAACTCAGAAAACATTCTGAGTTCCAGATGGGAATGGAATCAAGGAAGGTCATGGGTCGTGGGATTCAGTTCCATATAATTATTTCTTACTAAAACAAATAAAAAGCAAGTGGACGATAAAAGACGTAAACTGACAAACATATAATGGATTAACATATGATCCTACGAGGAAAAAACAACAAGAATGAATAAATGAATAGATTGGTGGATGGATGCATAAGTAAATGTGGAACAATTGAATGGATGGATAGATGAATGGGTAGGTAGAGGCTCTGACGGACGGACACATGAACGAATGGGGATGGGTGGATGGATGGAATAATTGCTTGCAGGTGGGTGGGTTGGTGAGTTAAACGATGGATGGTTGCCCGAAGACGGAAGGAGAGCTCGAAGTTAGTATGGAAGAAGATCCCGAATTGAATAATGATTGGTCTGTATTTTCTAAAGTCTCGCAAACTAGCAGGAGCAGACCCTGGTGCTGATTCAAGTCCTCTTATACGAGAGCTGTCACAACTAACCACACAGACTCTGGACAACTCATTGATATTTGGAGGAGATTTGATCAAATCCACTGAGGCGCTGTCTTCAGTTGTACAGCACAATGGAAGGAACGACTTGCTTGACATGAATAGGGACGATATGCAGGTAAAACCATGTTTTTTCCTTTCATTTATCCCTCTGCTTCCTGATAATAGGCATTTCTTTGTCTTCGTCACCATGAAGCTTGTACAATCTTCCATTTTCATCCTGTATAATGTCTGAATCTCAGACTTTGTTCCTCTCATCAATTCCCCTTTCAGAATTTTCATGTGAACTCTTTATCCCTGGACAATATTCAGTTTTGGAAAGGCTCCCCTCCAGATTTCCACGTTTCAGTTTCTATAACCAATTGCGCCCAAGGAAATCCAATGTAAAAAAATATCCTCGTCTTGGACTGGAAATTTTGATTTGATGAGCATGATGGTTTTTAATAGTTCTACCAAAAGTATTTCTCCTCCGAAAAGGGGAGGGGGATGGGAAGCGGGACCCTCTTCTCCACCGTATCTGTTAACTGCCATCCCGGCGGGGAATTTTTCAGCTAACACCTAGGATTCTTTGAGGTCCTTCAACGATAGAGAGAGAGAGAGTATCACGTGGGGTTTAGAAATGAAATGACAATTTCGTCTCATAAAGTTTCTTCTCCAGTCTCTACGTAATGAATATTGCGACTTGCGGTATCCTGTTAAATGTTAATTTAAAAAAAGTCTTTTTTATTCTCGTAGAATTTTGTAACGACTAGTAGTAATCTCTTGGACTTGACCAACAGACAGGAATGGGTCAATGTACAGAAGGTAAAGAGCAACTGATTGATGTACCAACGACATACACATACACCACACATACTTGTAGGAATGGAGGATGTACGGGGAAAGGCGCGCGTAGGGTGAGGGGGAGGGGGCAGGGTATTATTTGCCTAGTGATTGTTGCTTTTCACATTTGCCAATCCTACATCAATAACATGTTTATATAAGTCCTAGTTACAAGGGGAGTTTTAAAAAGATTTATTCCATTGAAAATTATAAATGACTGGGGTTGTTGGGTAAAACTCAATCTGACATGAAATAAAAATAAAAGATATAATAATTAATGGCATTTAGCAATGATTTCATAAAGTGCTCTTATTTCCACCGAATATGATTGAGACTTATAAACTTGGAAGACGCCCTTGAAGCACGGAGAGAAGCAACAAGCAACTCTACTCACCAGAGACAGTGTCCAAAATAAGATTAGGATGACTGATGTTGTACGTTTGTTATTCGTTATTTTCTTCTACAGAAAAAACCAGGTTCAGCAGACATACTGCGATCAATGGAGATGTTTGCATTACAGGCAGCAATAAGACTTCCCCGAGAAGACATCAAGAAACCCTTCATTACTAATAATATAGGTAAGTATGAGACTAGGTGAAGACATCTAGGGTAATGCATTATTTTGGATAGACAGGAATATACCCTTTGCATGTGACGTCAAACAAGCTCAATTTGGAGGACAAAACAAAAGAATCTCATGAAAATTGGAAACCTATTGTTACGTGCTGCAAGGGGTTCATTGGTTACACTATGGCGATTTGCTAGCAAAAACAGCAAAGTTTCATTTTGGAATTGAAAAACATAAAATAATATAAAATCTTCGAAGTAAAAGATTGAGTAGGTAGTTTCAGGTCACCCAACCAGATACTAATCTCACTCAACCCGGGCGTAACCCAATGTCTTATCAGACAACCGCATTAAAGAATAAAGGAGCGACCAAAATAGGATGTCATCAAACAGCTACATAAATAATGGTCCTTTTTCAGGCCCCAGCGATGTTGGTTTGAACAATAGATTCTACCACGCGTAGCCTCACATTCAAGCGCTTAAGAATAAATTTATGCAGGTGAAACAAGTTTAATGTTGTCATAGTAATAAAACATGGCCGCCGTGGGATAAACTCGATCCATTACATAATTATTACATATGCCCTCTCATCTCATCAATTATGAAATATCACATATTTATATATTTTTCAGTTATGAATCTGGACCGTCGTTCAGCGAGAAGTGGTCGCCTCATATTCCCTGACTATTCTGATAGTGACATCAGCAAATGGGACGTCAGACATGACGTCATTTCTATTCCATCCTCAGTCTTCAAGAGAGGTGAGAAAATGATTCACTGAAGAGTTGCGCACTCATTCTAACCGACCCGTCAGGATGATAAAACAACAGTTATTGGACGAGAAGCAATTAAAAACACCGAAATAATTTTTTTTTCAAAATGTATTTTTAAGATTGATATTTCTTAAAAAAGTATATTTTAAATTAGATTTTTTCCAAAATTAAAGAAAGTCGAAAAAATATTTTTAATACCCTTACAAAAATTGCAATATCTCATGAAACCTGTGTTGGCAATTAGTTAACTTGTCCCGTGAAGTTTGGTTCTGCATACAGCAATTTAATTGGTGTCATTGATTACTCGTCTTGCTCATCGTATCGATCTTGTTTGTCTTGACAGGTGAAGTAAGTGCGGCCAGTATCAGCTTCAAGAGTCTACCTTACCTGTTACCAGATGCTAATTTCAGGTATATTAACAATATATGAATACCCGACAGTAAACCAGACTAAACCAGATTGAATTGTTACTGCCTCCTGTCATGGCTGCCATCAGGTGATGGTGCAAAGTGCAAATCCTCTATTGGCCAACTTGCGATACTACAATTTCATCTTTAAGTTTTTTCAGTTATGATTACTCGTCTTGTGCGTACTTCTGAAGAATCTTTCACAGCTTCTTTGATTAGAAAATGTTTACTTTGAGTCGTTAAAGAGAAACCGTAAGTTGCGAGTGGTGATTTGATGTTCTGATTTCCATCTTTCCAGTAGAGGCCTGGGACCCAACTCCAAGATTCTTTCAACGATTCTTCATCCTGCTCCGCCTGACGAAATCTCTCCTCCCGTCACGATTATTCTCAGTCATATCAAGGTATGCATACACTGCATCAATATATGGGTTCTTTTACTCACTTGTTTAGGATCAAATCTCTCCTCCCGTCACGATTATTCTCAGTCATATCAAGGTTTGCTAATACACTACATATATATGGATTCCTTTTGCTTGCTAGCCTAGAATGAGGCGTTAATTTAGATCCCAAGGCTCCTAATACTATTTTCAAACTTATTTTTTCTTCCTCTTTTTTACTAGTCGTATTTATATTTATACGTTTCTTCGACAATTTTGTAACACATTTTGAAATATGAGCAAATAAACTTGTACTTGTGCAAGGACGTAATAGAGGCAATGTTTATGGGTGCATGGGTGCCATGGGTAGTGGTTTACCGCTCGCCTCTCGCCTCTATGGTCCGGGTTCGAGCTCTGGCTCAGACTGGATCTTATTTGAGTTGAGTTTGTTTGTTGTGTTGTTCTCCCCCTTGCTACGAGGGTTTTTCTCCGGGTTCTCCGGTTTCCTCCCTCCGTAAAAAGTGAGTTGAGTGTTGTAAGTTGTAAATATAGAATGTAGTGGTAGTGCGTGTGGAGGGAACCTCACGGAAGAGCCCCGCATGGGGAGTGGTGGTTGTAAAATATAAGTTTAAGTTTAAGTTTATTATCGAAATTGCCCAATGATGCATTTGAATACTGATAACTGCTACCTGTTCGTTAATCTAATTTTGTTATCGACGACATTTTCAGCCAAAACGAGCGAACCCCAAATGTGTGTTCTGGGATTACACAATTAAGTAAGTGACAAAAATGTAAGCTATTGAACTATTGTCCAAGTTTGCAAGTCCACGCGCGACAAATAACGGCCACCCCCCAACTCGTCTGTGTCAATGGTTATTCTTAGACGCTAAAAAAGATTTTGTTTTCTTATGAATACACTAAGCAGCTAATTACGCAAGATCAGTTATCTATACCTAGAGCTATAAAATATTTAAATCATAACCCGCGTGCTGATTGGCTGGCTACCGTGTTCAGAAGACTGAGACAGGCTCGCGCAAAATCGTTCAAAAATATTTTATAAAAGCAACATAAAAACGGCTGCTGAGGTATTTGTACTGTGATATAAACACTCTGGGAGCTGTAGAGCACTCGAGAAGCAAGAGAAACACTAGCTACGCTTCGCGGATGCTGAGCTAGCTTCTCTCGTGCTCTACAGCAACCAGCGTGTTTATACCACATAACAGTACAGATACAGATACATGCGCGTGCGTTTTATCTTCCTTAAGTATACTAACGCAGTATGTTTCCGTTAGTCCTCACAGGGGAGGGGGTTGGTCGTCTCGTGGTTGTTCTTTGGCATCCAGTAATGATACTCATTCAGTTTGTCAATGCAGCCATTTGTCAAACTTTGCTTTACTTGCGGATTTATCGGACGATGAGGTAAGTTAATTAACTCATGCTTTTATCGTATGTTGGTGGAATTGGAATCGGAAGAAGATGAGARTGAATGAATATGAAAAAATTGCCACGAATGCAGCTCTAAAATAATGGCATTCGTAATTCCAAAAGTTTTGATTCAAAGCCATGCAAACTGAACAAAGCGAAGAAATTCAGACACTGAAATTACGCTTTTGAAGATAATGACGTCATTCTGTACGTCACGTGCAAATGATGGATTTATGATATATTTATTTATTTAGCTGTAATCATGAAAAAAAGACATTCTAGTCATTTCTTAACACCCTTGAAGACGGCCTTTGAAGTTGCTCAAAGACTGAATTTTTTGTTTATCACCAGATTTCCGCCAAAGAACAAAAGAGAGAACGCACTATGGCACTAATGTGGATTGGGATCCCTGTGTTGGTGGTTGGTGTTATTGGTGCCTTGTACATGTCATTCAGCTGGTACGAGATTATTTCATTACTTTTTACTTTGGGCTTTGTGTGTAATACAGAATTATACTATGAGTACGACTGTAGATGTCGACCACAATCTTAGCAAAGGCGTTCCATCAAAAGCCAATAAGCATAATAATAGGGGGGTTAACAGTGGATCCACAGAGTGGCTCTTCTTCTACTGGATTCCAATTGGAATTTAGAAGTTGATTTTTTTGGAGGGAGGAAAACGAGAGAACTTAGTGAAAATCCCTCGAAGTACAGGAGAGAACCAACAAACAACTCTGGCTTACATACGACATCAAGTCTGGGATACGAAAAAAAAATGGAAAATAAGTCAAGGAACCAATCTTTGATTTCTTTATTTTATTTTATCATTGACCGTATTAATTCAGCAATATGTTTTACTGATATACCCCAGGACTGGCAAATCCCAGATGACGTCAAGACAGATCGATGAGAAGACAGGATTACTGGGTCAACGTGTTGTCACTAGTCAAGTACGTGAAGATTTCCCTGCATCACCAAGCCGCAATCTTCATCGAGCATTATCACCGGCATACACCCCATTACCGCCCGGTGATCTGGAATGGCAGGACGAGTTCAGACATGAGCTGGGGTAAATACAACCTGTTCCTGTAATTTTATGATTCTTCGTTTACACTTTACGTCATCGTCGTCATGATGGTGGTAATTAATTAAGATTTCTTATTAGCTTCCATTGTTACTGATATCACCAACATGACCATCAAGTCTCGAAAATACTTGCAAGCCATCAATATGCCGTGTACGTGGTCACATGGTGTACATGGTCATGTGATGCTCACATCATGTATATCACTGTGCATGGTGCATGATAACATGCATTATAGCGCGTGAACGTCGCGTAAAGTGTGTTTGATATGTAACATATAGGACGTGATTATGTTATTTGATTGTCACAAGATATATATCACGTGGTTGTCACATGGTGTATATCACATGCTTCATGGCGCAGAATGCCCGGACATATTGCCTTTGCCGCCTCATTTGCATACGCTCGTAATCACTGAAGCGCGCGGGAAGTTTGAAAATCTTGACTCGATTTACAAAAGAACGAGTCAATTTTGCGACAGGCACGTCAATACAAGTCAACTTTTCTTGGACTTGCGCTAACAAAATACCGGGCTTGCGACTTGAAAACTAAAGTTGAAATGTCAAAGTAATACTTCGCAGTTAAAAAACAGAAATTAGAACGAGTTAAGTAGTATCCATTTGTCTTCGAAAACTCGTAATTTTAAAGAAATTTTATATGTAGGCAACTTTTGAACTAAAATTTACTTGTCTCATTTAAAGAAATGTCAGCGCTTGCGACCTGAATATTAATCTTTTGTATATTCAGCAACAAGCCCAAAATCATTTTTAAACTATTTTGTTTAATAGTATCCGTTTTTATCAAAAGATTTTAATGAGGATTTTGGTGAAAATTTCTCATTATTATTCATAGAAAAGAAAACTAAGCTCCTCCTCCTTGCGGCCTCAATTAATCCAAATGTACACTTTGTCACATGGTGTATATCACATGCTTGTCACATAATATATATATCATGTGGTTGTCACATGGTGTATATCACATGCTTGTCACATGATATATATCATGTGGTTGTCACATGGTGTA